GTAGCTGGGATTACAGGCACGCGCCGCCATGCCCAGCTAATGTTTTGTATTTTTAATAGAGATGGGGTTTCACCCATGACCTCGTGATCCACTCGTCTCGGCCTCCCAAAGTGCTGGGATTACAGGCTTGAGCCACCGCGCCTGGCGCTCTCTGATAATTGTTTAGCATTTCTGGTCAATGTTGTCTGAGGATACAGTTACAACAGATTATCTTTGCTTACTCTCTCTGTGGCATATTGTCTCCAACGTTTTACTCTCAAACTTCCCATATCATTTTGTTTTGGACATATCAACTATTATAACTGCATGTTGCTGGATTTTAATTTTTAATCCATTCTGACAATTTTGAGGCATTTATATTTAATGTAATTAACTGGAATCCATGCTATGTTTTTACTGAGCATGAAAAACTTAATGTAATATAACTTTCTTAGTACTTTTTATTTTATAATAGCTATCTAAATGCATTGTATTTGCTTTACGTATTTGATTCTCTTCTTTTGGATGAGTTTCTTATTATTACATTTCCCCACTTTGTTGGCATGGAAATTATGTTCTTTAAAACAATTACTAGTTTTTTTTTTGTTTTGTTTTGTTTTTTAGACAGAGTTTTGCTCTTTTTGCCCAGGCTGGAGTGCAATGGCACAGTCTTGGCTCACTGTAACACCCACCTCCCAGGTTCAAGTGATTCTCCTGCCTCAGCCTCCCGAGTAGCTGGAATTACAGGCGCATGCCACCATGCCCTGCTAATTTTGTATTTTTAGTAGAGACGGGGTTTCACCACATTGGCCAGGATGGTCTCTCAAACTCCTGACAGCAAGTAATCCCCCCACCTCAACCTCCTAAAGTGTTGGATTACGGGCATGAGCCACTGCACCCAGACTTACTAGTTTTATTTATAACACTAGAAATTACATGTAGTGTGCAACCTTTGTCATATTCTGTTAATTAGCACTTTTTCATTCTACAGAAACCTTAGAGCATGCCAACTTCATTTATCACCTTCTAATTTATCTAGTAAATTATTGTGTATTTTAGCTTTTTATGTATTTAAAACCTCCTAAAATATTGTCACTACTGTTTTTATGACAATGCTTATGATTTGCCCAGTACATTGACTTTCAAACTGAAGTACATATCCTCACATGGTGTACAAAGACTTTTGAAGAGGTGTGTGAGCGCCATGATTTAAAGGAAAACAAAGACCAGCTCCTCTCCTTGCTGATTATCTCTTTTCTAAAACTAATCTGCCTGAGAGTTCACCGGCTCCTGAGGCATGGTGCTGTGGTGGATCTCATTTCCTATTCACAGTCTTTCCATGGAAACTGTCATAGAAAAAAGGCATAGCTCCACCACATTTAGAATCCTAGATGTTATTGGCCAGAGGAATAAAATCTTCTGGGGCTCCAAATAAAGGGATAGTTAACTATATTGGGGGCATTGTTTTAAGATGAATGCCTAGGAGCAGTGAGAGTATCTGGGCCCAGAGAAAATGTACCGCTTACACTGAATTTGATCTTCAACCCACAGGTTCTGACTCCTCAAGAGCTAAAAACGTCACCTGAAGAGGGAGGACACAGATTTGGGTATCAGCATTTCTAGGGGCACGACTCAAGACTGAGACTTCTGAAGAGAAGTCCAGAAGATACAAAGACAGACTATCCCAGTTGAATGTCATTTTCCAGGAACAGAAGAAAATGATCCAGGCCCAGGTAACTAACTTTTGGTTTGTTTTATTCTTTCGTTTGTCCCATAATAGATTTGTAGAGGCCTATAAAAATCAATTTCACTAATACAAAAACTATAAACTTCAAAAAACAGGATCTGGAGAGAAATAAGCTTAGTTTTTAAACTCAATATCATACAACATAGTAGTATAAGGACTGTATTGTTCTGCTTTATTTTGCATTTTTCCAATTACTGGTGAGATTTAAATCTTTCTTGGTCAGTTACATTGTTTGTTCTATAAAATACCTGTGCTTTTCCCTGCCTTATTGAAAAATCTGTTTTGTCTCATTCATAGGCGTTGTTTATATCCACTGTATATTGATACTTTCTTTTATATGTTGCAGATATTTTTTTCCAGACTGTCACTTGTTTCTTTCCATGTAGAAGTTTTAATATATGTATTTTTTGGAGATAGGATCTTGCCTGTCCCCCTGGCTGAAGTGCAGTGGTGCGATCACAGCATACTGCAGCCTTGACCGCCTGTGTTCAAGTGATCCTCTCACCTCACCCTCTAGAGTAGTTGGAACTATAGGTACACACCATCATGCTAGGCCAATTTTTAAATTTTTTTGGAGAGATGGGGTCTTGGTATATGGCCCAGGCTGGTCTCGAACTCCTGACCACAAATGATCCTCCTCCCTTGGCTTCCCATAGTGCCAGGATTACAGACATGAGCCACTGTGTGTGGCCTTAATGTTTGATTAAAACTTTATTACAAAATTATCATTGTCTTCATTTCTAGCTTTTGATTTGTATCACATGTATTTTCCATAATTTTGTCATTTTGTGTTTAGGTCTTGTATTAGTTTTCTATCTTCCTTACATATTGTCACCAAATTTTAGCAGCCTGAAAGAATACACACTGTGTCCAAGTTTCTGTGGTCAGGAATCTGGGCAAAGCATAGCTTGGTGCTCTGCTTCATGGTCTCTCACAAGGCTTCAGTCAAGGTGTTGGCTGGAGCTGGAGTCTGATCTCAGGCTTGAAGTGAGAGGATCTGCTTCCAAGCTCACTTACAGGTTGTTGGCAGAATTCATTTCTATGAGGGTTATTGGATTCAAGGCCTCTCGTCCTCACTGTTGGTCAGAGGCAGCACTCAGTTCGTTGCCAAGTGGGTTTTCTTTTACATGGCAACTTGCTTCATCAAAGCCAGTAGGACAGAAGTAACATCTAAGGTTCTTTGCTGAAACAAACTTTAGTCAGGTTCCTAGGCCCACCTGTGCACTTCCTTGTAAAGTCTAATTTTAGCAAAGAACCCTGCTAAGTCAGTTTAGCAGGAACCCCCACCCTGAAGATTTGATAACCCTCAATATCTGACTGGGTTCCTTGTCCTTCACCATCCTGCAGGTGATGTGTGATTACCCTGTCCTGTCTTTAGCAAGAATTGTGTTGGCATAGTTCAGGCAAACTCTCCTTTACTCCAGTGTTTCCTTTTAGTAATTTTTTTTTTTTTTTTGAGACAGAGTCTCACTTTGTCACCCAGGCTGGAGTGCAGTGGTGCCATCTTGGCTCACTGTAACCTCTGCTTCCCAGATTCAAGTGATTCTCCTGCGTCAGCCTCCTGATTAGCTGGGACTACAGGCATGTGCCACTACACCTGGCTAATTTTTGTATTTTTAGTAGAGTTGGGGTTTCACCATATTGGCCAGGCTGGTCTCGAATTCCTGACCTCAGGTGATCTGCCTGCCTCAGCCTCTCAAAGTGCTGGGATTATAGGCATAAGCCACTGTGCCCAGCCCTCTTAGTAATTTTGTATTACTGACCCTCTACTCCTTAGCTATAAATTCCACTTGCTTATGCTGTATTTGGAGTCCAGTCACCCTCTACCACTGCAAAATCCTATTACATTTGTCTTTATACCTATCATAATGGCCCTGAATAAAGTCCTCCTTACTGTGCTTTAACAATTCTCATTGAATAATTTTTTAAAACACATCTCATGTAGCTTAATTAAGGAAGTGAGATTCTAACACCTTTGCCATATTCTTCTGGATGGAAGTCAGTCACTAGGGCAGTCCATGCTCAAGGAGGGGGAACTACATAAAGGTGTGAATACTGGGAGGGTGGAGTTCATTGAGCCATCGAATCTACCTGCTATAGATCAGTCATATAGTAAATCATTTTTGAGTGTGGATTGAGGTAGGACTTTCACTTTACTTTTTTCCAGATAGATAGATACCCATATAAATAATTTAGAATGGGTAAACCAACCAGGATTAAGTACTTGTATTGTCTACCAAGTCTGTTCACTGGCCTCTACAATAAAATGAGGATAGAGTGTACCTTCTGCTGTTCCCTGGGTCTTTACTGACTCAATTTCACACCCAGCAGTATCCTTTAAATGCATCCTGAGACAGAAGATTGATAATTCATTGATAAGTAGTCTTCATTGTCACCATTACAGGGCTGTGGGTCCTTTGCTAGCCATGCTTTTCAATCCCAGATGGTCTTCAGTGTTGGGCTGTGTTGTCCAAGGGCTGACCACCCTATGCTTTTTGTTCCAATGTTCACTGGCTGTAAGTATTTCCGTGGAGCAGTCAGCTGTCAGAAAATTTTGTCTCCTTTGTAGGTCATCTGTCTTGGTGTCTGGATGCTTTTATAGTCTCCCCTTTGTATCTGGTGTAATTTGTTTCAATCTGATGTGTCTGTGTGTAAATTTCTTGCTTGAAAACTTGTTGGGTTTCTTGAGTTTGATGTTTGGAGTGTTTAATCAATTCTGAAAAATTCTCAGTGTTAGATCATTGGATATTGTTTCTCCATTACTCGATTTTCTCCTTCTTCAAAAATTATCAAACTCAAGGAGAGGATCCTGGGAAACTTCAATTTATAATTAGTTCATCAGAAATATAAGAGGCCTGGATTTGTGAAATATAGTTAGCTCTCCATATCCATAACTTCCACATCCATGGATTCAACCAACTGAGGATTGAAAACATATTTTTTAAAAAGCATGTGTACTGAACACATAAAGACTTTTTTATTGTCATGATTCCCTAAACAATACAGCATAACAACTGTTGTCATAGCATTTACATTGTATTAGATATTGTAAGTAATCTAAGGATAATTTAAAGTACATATGGCTGGGCATGGTGGCTCACACCTGTAATCCCAGCACTTTGGGAGGCCAAGGCGGGTGGACTGCCTGAGATCAGGAGTTTGAGACTAGTCTGGCCAACATAGTGAAATCCTGTCTCTACGAAAAATACAAAAAAATTAGCTGGGTGTGGTGGTGGGTGCCTGTAATCCCAGTTACTCGTGAGGCTGAGGCAGGAGAATGGCTTGAACCTGGTAGGTGGAGGTTGCAGTGAGCTGAGATTGCGCCATTGCACTCCAGCCTGGGCAACAAGAGTGAAATTCCATCTCAAAAAAAAAAAAAAAAATTAGCTGGGTGTGGTGGCACATGCCTGTAGTCCCAGCTACTTGGGAGGCTGAGGTAGGAGAATTGCCTGATCCTGGGAGGTGGAGGTTGCAGTGAGCTGAGATTATGCCACTGTACTCCAGCCTGGGAGAGTGAGTCTCCATTTAAAAAGAAAAAAAAATGTATACAGGAGGATGTGCATGGGTTACATGCAAATCTGCAAGTACTCTCCCATTTTATTTTATTTCATTTTATTAAAGACAGAGTCTTTCTCTGTTTCTCAGGGTGAAGTACAGTGGCATGATCATAACTCACTGTAGTCTCTATCTCCTGGGCTCAAATGAGCCTCCTGCCTCAGCCTCCCAAGTAGCTGGGCCCACAGGCACTCCCAACTGTACCTAACTAATTTTTAAAATTTTTGTACAGACGGGGTGTCATGTTGTTGCCCAGGCTGGTCTTGAACTCCTGGGCTCAAGCAACCCTCCTGCCTCGGCCTCCCAAAGTGCTAGGATTACAGGGGTGATCTACTGTGCCTGACCAATACCATGCCATTTTATATCAGACACTTCAGCATCCTCAGGAGGTCCTGGAACCAATACTCTATAGATACTGAGGGACGACTGTATATATGTCTTTTGTCTGCATGTATGTAAAATAAATATATGTAAATTTATTTGTATATATTCACATATATAAAATATGTAAATATGTTGTTTCTGGGTTAGCGTGTTTTTTTCTTTTGTTTTTTGAGATGAAGTCTTGCTCTGTTGCCCAAGCTGGAGTGCAGTGGTGGGATCTCGGCTCACTGCAACCTCCGCCTCCTGGGTTCAAGTGATTCTCCTGCCTCAGCCTCTTGAGTAGCTGGGACTACAGGTGTATGCCACCATACCTGGCTAATTTTTTTATTTTTGGTAGAGATGGGGTTTCACTATGTTGGCCAGGGTGGTCTTGAACTCCTGACCTCATGATCTGCCCACCTTGGCCTCCCAAAGTGCTGGGATTATAGGCATGAGTCACTGCACCTGGCCCTAGGTTAGCAAGATTTAACTGCTACACATTACAGAAACTTCTAGTTGGGTGAATGGAGGATGACTGAATATACAATTACAGAATATTTCATTAAGACTTTACTTCTTCCACAATGTATTTTTTTTTTAAACTATTTGGTATATAAACATAGCCTGTAGAGTGGAAATGAGCAAAAAAACTTTAGCATTTCTTCCATATCATCAAAAATGCATTACTTCATTAAACAGGACTGTTATTACAGGAATCCCTAACACTGGAGGATGTGGCTGTGGACTTCACTTGGGAGGAGTGGCAGCTCCTAGGCCCTGCTCAGAAGGACCTGTACCGGGATGTGATGTTGGAGAACTATAGCAACCTAGTTGCAGTGGGTGAGGACAGCTGCCTCTGTCACTCAAAGGGTGCCTAGTCAATGGCCTTCCTTTCTCAGATGCTTACCTCTTTGGAATACCTGGAGTACTCTGAAGTGGTAGATTCTCAGATCTTTCCTTTGCTCCCACACAATACGGTGTAATCTACCCTCTTGTGAGAGAAAACCTTGATGTTACAGATATGAAACTACACTTTCATATGAAGGTTTGGTTCTTAAAATGTAACATTCTCCCTTTTTGACATTGCCAGCCCAATTTGATATATCTAAGTCTTCTATCATTTCCCTGAACAGGGTATCAAGCCAGTAAACCAGATGCACTCTTCAAGTTGGAACAAGGACAACCACCGTGGACAATAAAAGATGGAATCCACGGTAGAGCCTGTTCAGGTGAGAACTTGCAAGGCAGAAGGCTGTGGGAGTCACAGAGAAGGCAACAGAGCTGTGGAGGGGGTTTGAGGATGTGTAAACAGCTCCTCCACACATCTCTCTCCCAGTGTGAGAACGTTTTTCTTTGTAGGAATTTACAGTTTAAAAAAAAATCCCTTTATCTCTTCAGAGATCTGATTATTTTATCTATATATTTTTTGTTTGCCTGCCTTATTTTCTTCTTCCTCAGGTTTCAAATATTTCCCTTCTTCATATGCTTCCCCCTCTCTTGTTATGAAATTCCACCTTCCAGGCCTCTGTCCAAAGAGGAAACTTTGAAGTCCTCACTGTTTTCTGACTCTGGCCCTTTTCTGCCCCTTGGCTAATGCTGACCACCCCTCCTAACACCTGTCCTGTGTTGGATGCAGCTTCCTCAAGGACAACTGGGCTTTCACTGTGCCTTGGTTTCCTTAGCTTCTCTTTTTCCTTATTCATAGGTTCTCCAAAGGCCCTGTTTTCCATTTTCTCATCTGTGCCCTTCACTCTTCAAAGTTTCCTTAATCCTAGTAAGTTAAGCTCCTTCCATTCCCTGGAGGAGAGTCCAAAATTGACATCTCCCTATTCCTCTCTAACACAGATTTTAGATTTTTTTTTTTTTTTTGGCTTATAGAAGCGGGGGTAAATGCTCACACAGATTTTAATTCTATATAATTTACCTGATGGCAACTTTCCCCTGAGCTCCTAGTAACTGCAAGGAACTAGAATCATTTTTCCTCCAAGAAAACCCCTAAGTTTCAATTCTCATCTGTTCCTGTGCATCCTACATCTTGACCATCTAGGCATCACCTGCCTGAAGAGCTTTCTTCTTTAAAGGTCTCTGCTAGTCATGATGGATCTCTAAGTAAAAAAGTTATTTCTTTAACATCCTGCATTCTCAAGTCCAGCTTAAACCAGGTCATAACTCCTGCCTACTTCCATTTCATTCCATTCTGTATTTAATAATTTGCTTTGTTTCGCCCATTGTATTCTGATGACACTAAGTTTCAGTAAACCGTGTTACCTGTCAAATTTCTCATTTCAGTGATCTCTGTGATATAATATCATCTTGCTCACAAAGAGATTTCTGTCTTCTTTCCTAAAGCCTCCCCGGTGTGTTCCACACATGATTTCTTCCCTGACTCAATCATTTAAAGAGCATTTATTATTATTTATTTTTATTAATTTTTTTTCTTTGAGACAAAGTCTCGCTCTGTCACCAAACCGGAGTGCAGTAGTGTGATCTCGGCTCACTGCAACCTCGCCTCCCAGGTTCAAGAGATTCTACTGCCTCAGCCTCCCAAGTAGCTGGGATTACAGGCATGCGCCACCACACCTGGCTAATTTTTTTCTTTTTTTTTTCTTTTTAGTAGAGATGGGGTTTCAACATGTTGGCCAGGCTGGTCTCAAACTCCTGACCTTGTGATCCACCCGCCTTGGCCTCCCAAAGTGCTGGGATTATAGGTATGAGCCACCACACCCAGCCTAATTTACTTTTTTTTTGAGACAGAGTCTTACTCTGTTGCCCAGGCTGGAGTGCAATGGTGTGATCTTGGCTCACTGCAACCTCTGCCTCCTAGGTTCAAGTGATTCTCATGCCTATCCCCAACACTAGCACCTTGCCTGGCCCATGGTGATCATTCAGTAAGAGTGTGTGGAATTAATGAATCTGCCCTTTGGATGAAGTGGCCCCTCCAACCTCTGGTCTGCTGGTCACAGTGAATTGCTTGTATTTTAAGGTCTTTGTTTTGCAAGGCATATTTAGAAAGCAGCCAAATCTGTCTTGTTAGTCATCTAACCTTGTTTTTATGCTAACTGCTTTTACCTTTTAGTTTGTTTATATTATTCTTTTTTGCCAACGTACAAGGAACATTGAACATGAAGTTTTATTTACACTCAGATCATATGGTTATTACTAAAGAGACACTTCACATCAAGGCATTAAAAACAATACTTTGGGGTCAGGCGCAGTAGCTCATGCCTGTAATCCCAGCACTTTGGGAAACTGAAGCAGGTGGATTACCTGAGGTCAGGAGTTTGAGATCAGCCTGGCCAACGTGGTGAAACCCCATCTCTACTAAATATACAAAATTAGCTGGGTGTGGTGGTAGGCACCTGTAATCCCAGCTACGTGGGAGGCTGAGGTAGGAGAATTGCTTGAACCTGGGAGGTGGAGGTTTCAGTGAGCCAAGATCACAGCATTGCACTGCAAGCTGGGCAACAGAGCAAAACTCCATCTAAAATAAACAAACAAAAAAAACTTTTACTCCAAATAAAATGATGGAAATCTTTGTTCTTTTCTTTCTAGAAATCTGGAAATTTGATGATCATGTGCACTTACAGTGTGAAAGCCTGGTAAATAGAAGGAAACAATGTCATGAAAATGATGCATTTGAAAATATTCTTCATTGGAGCAAAAGTCAGTTTCTGTTAGGGCAAAATCATGATATATTTGACTTAGATAGAAAAAGTTCGAAATCAAATTTAACTTTAGTTAACCAGAACAAACGCTATGAAATAAAGTCTGCTGAGTTTACAGGAAATGGGGACTCCTTTCTTCATGCCAACAGTGAACGATTTCATACTGCAATTAAATTTCCTGCAAGTCAAAAATCCATCAGCACTAAGTCCCAATTCATCAATCCCAAGCATCAGAAAACTCGAAAATTAGAGAAGCATCATGTATGCAGTGAATGTGGGAAAGCCTTCATCAAGAAGTCTTGGCTAACTGATCACCAGGTAATGCATACAGGAGAGAAACCCCACAGATGTAGTCTATGTGAGAAAGCCTTCTCCAGAAAGTTCATGCTCACTGAACATCAGAGAACTCATACAGGAGAAAAACCGTATGAATGCCCTGAATGTGGCAAAGCCTTTCTCAAGAAGTCACGGCTCAATATACATCAGAAAACACATACAGGAGAGAAACCCTACATATGCAGTGAATGTGGGAAAGGCTTCATCCAGAAAGGAAATCTCATTGTACACCAGCGAATTCATACAGGTGAGAAACCTTATATATGCAATGAATGTGGAAAAGGCTTCATTCAGAAGACTTGCCTCATAGCACATCAGAGATTTCACACAGGAAAGACGCCCTTTGTGTGCAGTGAATGTGGAAAATCCTGTTCTCAGAAGTCAGGTCTCATTAAACATCAAAGAATTCACACAGGAGAGAAACCTTTTGAATGCAGTGAATGTGGGAAAGCCTTTAGCACGAAGCAAAAGCTCATTGTCCATCAAAGGACTCATACAGGAGAGAGACCTTATGGCTGTAATGAGTGTGGCAAAGCTTTTGCTTATATGTCGTGCCTGGTTAAGCATAAGAGAATACACACAAGGGAGAAACAAGAGGCAGCCAAGGTGGAAAATCCTCCTGCAGAGAGACACAGCTTATTACACACCAGTGATGTCATGCAGGAGAAAAACTCTGCTAGCATGGTGACTACACAACTGCCTTCCATGGCCCCTCAGACATCATTAAACATCAGTGGCCTCCTAGCAAACAGGAACGTAGTCCTTGTGGGACAGCCAGTGGTCAGATGTGCAGCCTCAGAAGATAACAGAGGATTTGCACAGGACAGAAACCTTGTGAATGCAGTGAATGTAGTCGTGCCTTCCGTGATCAATTATGTCTTATTTTATGTTACAGAAAACTCATAGGAAGAAAGCTCAGATCTATGTGGAAAAGAGTTGAGCAAAAATTTGTAGTTCATTATGTGGCTTAAAAGTATACACTGAGAGAAAGTGTGTAAGGCTGAAAAAGCCTGATAAACTCATCCTATTTAAAATATGCTATAATACAAAGGCAAAATCTAATGTTACCCTGTGCACATACACAGCATTTGCTCTATTGTGTCAATTAAATGAATGAAGGAAGCCCAGGTATTTTTAAGTGGAGGAAATTAAGTACTGCGAATTTTTCAAACAGATGAGATAATCGGTATCTGGAGTGTTGCAGTGACTGAAAAGCCCCGAAAGGGGCAGTTGATGGGAAAGGGCTAATACTGGATTGGTAGGATGTGGGACATGTATGTGTCAATTCAGTTTCCTTAGATCAGTGTGAAGGATTAATTGAAAATCAGGACCATAAACTTTCAGAACTTTATATTATGCAGACGAATCTCTGAAACAATAGTCAGTTTGTTTCATTAAACAAATATTTAAAAATTATTTCCTTTGTACCCTGTCCTGTTCCCGGAGTGGAGGTCATAGTGGTAAACAAAGAAGAAAAAGTTTGTGGTCTCCTGGAGAGTTTGTGTGGTTATCTTTAAGTTGTATCATTACATTCAGCTAATCTAGTCAGGGGATGCAAATATCTACATTCTGTGAAATGGACATGGAGTAACTGTCTAGGGGACATGATAATTTGTTGTTCAAGGAGTAGCATAAAGACTGCTGTTAATGGTACTTAAGCACCTTAGTACAAAAATGAGGGTTTTTTTTTTTTTTTTTTAATGCCCATGTCTTATCTCTCCAAGAAATTACAGATTCCTTGCTAAGTCTTGTGGGTACTTACATGTTAGAATTAAAGAAACTGAACATAAACTTTAAAAATTCAGTTCCTTCAGTGCTCAAGAGCTGTATGTGAGTAGCGGCTACCAAACTGGACAGCACAGTGAGTAGAACTTGGACATAATGGGGACTCTTTGTCATCATTTCCAGCATCCCAGCAAGTTACACTGGACTCTCCAGTTTGCATGATCTAATATTTCCCAACACATAGAAAAACAAAACTAATTATATATTGATTTGGAGAGTGAATGTATGAACTAATAGGTTAAAGTTATTTTGTCATCGAAGGGAATGGCAGTTGTAAAGAATGGACTTGTCACAACTTTCGCGTGATTAGAGTGACTTAAACAAATATATTTCTTTTTTTTTTCTTTTTCTTTTTTACCTCCAGCAATGGGTATAAGAAAGATTTAAACAAATATAAAAGGAGCAGGACATAAAAGGAAAATCACCCTTAGAATAAGTAGAACACAGAAGGAAGATGAAAATCTTTGTCTCCAAGAATGGACGAGACTGTAACAGATGGGAGGAGGTGGATTTCTTCTGTGGCATCTTAGAAATGACCCGTTTATTTGTCTGTAAGACCTATTACCTGCTAGAGTTACCATTTCAAAGATCCAGCTCCTCTGTGGCCTGCTGAACTGTGATTTTTTTTTTTTTAGACGTGCTTTATCTTCATCATTATTCTGACTTTTCTGGGATTAGGTCTCTTGCCTTTCTTTATCCAGTTTTTTAACCTTCATCCCTATGTGGATACACTGTCCAAGTTACAGTGAGTGCTGTTCATAGGGAAAAAAAACGGAAATTTGCCTTGCTGTGACTAGCTCAGAATTCAACAGAGATCCTGGGTTACTAGGTAACTTTATTGTACCATCACTATGCAAGGCACTGTTTTAGATACAGTTATTTGTTCAACAGTCTTATTATTGAAGCGCTGTGTTCCAGTTTTTGTTCTGAGCACTGGGGCTAAAAAAAATTAGAGTTTCTGCCTTTGTGGAACTCACAGTTCATTGTGAACAGCAGTTAAGTGAGCTGATGATGATGATCAGGAAAAATGATCTCCAATCATCCCCAGAAGAGAGATGCTTCCTTTATTTCCCTATTTGATGCCTTCTATAGTTCCCTTCCTTAGTCCCAGTTAGGAGCTGCAATTTTATATTTAATGATTGCATTATTATAAATAAGACAAACCTGAGAGGCAACCCAGAATGCTGTCTGAAGAAGTGACATTTCAAATGACTCATGAAAGGACAAGTATAGTAACTAATACTCCTTGTTTCCTGTGTGCCAAGCACTTCGCAAGAAGGGAAGGTATGTGCAAATTACTGGTAGCATATAAGACCTGGGAAAGGGGCAGAATAAGAATCAAATGTAAGGCAGAGAGTAATGGAAGATGAGAATGGAGAATCTGGTGTTTCCTGGTGTACAGCCTTAAACATATTCTGAGATCTGTAATTCATTCATTCAGGGTTTTATAGAGGGTATAATAAAGATGGTTTGTGGTATGGAACAAGGAAGTGGATGGAGTGCCACCAACTTACAGAGCTCAACGAGGTGTCAAATGCAATAGTAATTCAGATAAATGGACTAAAGCAAGGAGGACAGAGTGAGGACAGATTTCAGTCTTCTTTTGGAGACAGTATCATCAGTAACTGAGGACAGGTGTGGAGATGACGCATGGATTATATTTTGGGTTGGTCCTCTGACCTTTTCACATCAAGAACTAGTAACCTGTAATCCAGATAACTCCTTTGTCTGCATTCTGGATGAGACAGAATAAGGAAGAAGTACATCTGGAGGAGAGAGGGACCTGAGTTTTGGAGTTGCTTACTCTGAGGTTCAGATGGAGTGGGGAGCAGGACATTTGGATGCTATGTGAAATAGCGTTTTTTGTTTTTTTTTTTTTGAAAGGGCTGCTATTTTTAATATTTTTTTTTATTTCAACAGGTTTTGGGGTACAAGTCAGTTACACAGATGAATTATATAGTGGTGAATTCTGAGATTTTAGTGCACTGGCCACCGAGTAGTGTATATGGTACCCAATATGTATTTGTAATCCCTCTCCCCCTCCTAATCTGCTTCTGAGTCTCCAATGTCATATATATACGATTTTTTTTTTTTTTAAGACGGGGTTTCACCATGTTGGTCAGGCTGGTCTTGAACTCCCGACCTCAGGTGATTTGCCCGCCTTGGCCACCAAAGTGCTTGGATTACACGCGTGAGCCACCGCACCCGGCCGATTTTTTTTTTTATTTAAGATGGAGTCTCACTGTGTCGCCCAGGCTGGCGTGCTGTGGTATGATCTTGGCTCACCGTAACCTCTGCCTCCTGGGTTCAATTGATTGATTATCCTGCCTCAGCCTCCAGAGTAGCCGGGATTATAGGCGATTGCCACCATGCCTAGCTAATTTTTGTATTTTTAGTAGAGATGGGGTTTCGACATTTTGGCCAGGCTGGTCTGGAACTCCTGACCTCAAGTGATCCACCTGCCTTTGCCTCTCAAGTGCTGGGATTACAGGCGTGAGCCACTGTGCCCAGCCAAGTCCATTATATTTGATGCTAAGTTAACAAATATCTTTTAATTAGAAATTAGCAAATGTATACACTGCATATAAAATGAAGATTTTAGGCTGGGTGCAGTGGCTCATGCCTGTAATCTCAGCACTTTGGGAGGCCCAGGTGGGCGGATCACCTAAGGTCAGGAGTACAAGACCAGCCTAGCCAATATGGTGAAACCTCCATCTCTATTAAAACTACAAAAATTAGCTGGGTGTGGTGGCATGCGCCTATAGTACCAGCTACTCGGGAGGCTGAGGCAGGAGAATTCCTTGAACCCGAAGGCGGAGGTTGCAGGGAGCTGAGGCTGTGCCACTGCACTCCAGCCTGGGCGACATAGCGAGACTCTGTCTCAAACAAACAAACAAACAAACAAATAAATAAATAAATGAAGATTTTCTTCTCAAGCTAAAACCCCAAATATAATCAAAATTATATTTATTGTTTTACTTTTTTGTTTAAAATTTTAGGAATGCAAACAAATTAATTTTTCCTATGAGAGGATTATAAACATTGTTGTGCAGATCAATTTTGCGTCCTCAGTAACATAGTTATCTTTTAAAAAATTAATATGGATAATTCAGCTTTTTAATGGGTATATACTGTTCTGCTGAGGAGATGTGTATTATCAAGCTATTCACTGATGTACATTCAGGTTGTTCCTTGAAAAAAAAATTACCCAAACTGCTGTGGTTAATATAAAAAGGTTTTTGGTTTTTTTTTTGAGGCAGAGTCTCACCCGGTCGCCGGGCGCCAGGCTGGAGTGCAGTGGCACAACCTCGGCTCATTGCAACCTCCGCCTCCCGGGTTCAAGCAATTCTCCTGCCTCAGCCTCTCGAGTAGCTGGGACTACAGGCGCAGGCCACCACGCCCAGCTAATTTTTGTATTTTTAGTAGAGACGGGGTTTCACCATGTTGGCCAGGATGGTCTCGATCTCTTGACCTCGTGATCCGCCCGCCTCGGCCTCCCAAAATGCTGGGATTACAGGCTTGAGCCACCACGCCCGGCTAATATAAAAAGTTTTAATTGAAATCGTAGAATTGGGATTGCTGGATCAAAAACGAATAAAAAATTTAAATTGTACAGATAATTCCAAGTTGTCCTCCAAAAAAGGATGCAAAAATTATTTCCTTTACTACCCACCTTCCTTGCCTGTCTAAATAGCTAACATTTCTTTTGCGAGTGCTGTTTATTTTTAAAATTAGGGACGACGCCAAACAAAATAACATCTCATTATTTAATCCCTCACAAATGCCCTTTGTTTTTTTAGGGAAACGTGCGTATATTTGAGGCTCACCTCTTTACCCTCCTTGCTGGAGGTAGTTACATTTCCAGGACACTGGAAGGCATCTGGTTCACAGAGCCGGGTCCTCGCCTTTGCCTCTGCTCTTTTAGCAGTTCTGTGACCAACCTCATCCAGGCCGGCTTCACTCATTCTCATTCCCATCCCCGCCTCATTTCCAAATATCCCCAGGGCTCGAATTGTTCAGTGTTTCTGTCTACGTGGTGACCACTGCCTCCCCAGTAACGTCTCAGTCCTACAAACCTCTGTGTCACCCAAAGGCGCCTCCAGCCAGAAGCGAGCTGGGGTCTTCTCAGCCTTACGGACAGCGGCCCTCCTTAAGATGGCCGCACCCATGATGCTCCAACGGCTCCTGGGCATCGCCATCTTCCCATTTTTCCCAAAAGGCTGAAAACGCAAGCCGTTCCATATTGGCCTCAGGTAGGCTCTGGCCCCTGAAAATTTACTCAGCACAGCGATCTTGACTGATGAGGCAGATTCGGGCAACGTGGCGCCGTAAAGGGATTACAGTTTCCTCTCACCACGCTGCGCCACAGCCCCCTAAAGGGCGGCTCCGTAAGGGCCGCTCCGTGGGCGTGGCCACGTTACGACACAGAGCCTATAACTACCTGGTCCGCGCGTGCGGGCAGACGGCGTCTCTAGCGACTTCCGGGCGGCAGCCACGCCGAAGGCGCGGGGTGGCACGTGGCTTACGAAGGGGGTTCAGCCCCTGGCAGCTGCCAGCAGAGTCCTGAGAAGCTTAGGATTTGGCGAACCTGACCCCAGGTGAGGGGCCTGGGTGGAAGACCCTGTCCTGGGGGTTTCTTGTGATTCGGCCGCTGGACAATCCTGGTGATTTCGCGATGGGCCCTTTAGTGGTTCAAGGGTCTGAAGGGATGAAAGGTCGCGGGTCCGACTGCCGGGATTTGGTGTCTGCAGGAGAGACAGCCTACCTTTGAGGCTTCGTGATTGAAAGCTGGGTGGCAAGGGTGCCGGTGACGGCGGTTTTTCGTCCAGGTTTGAGACTTCATGTGAGACTGAGACATGAGGAGAGGCGTCAGTGGACCTCGGTTTCTACAGAACATTTAAAAAATTAGCAGGCGTGGTGACATGCAGATCTGATATTCCTGGTTCTCAGAGTAAAATGATACAAGGGTGGGAGATAAAGGGGTAATATGTGTATCCAGAGGTCAAAGAACAGTTCGTGGAGCTCTGTGGGTATCCCAGCTACTCGGGAGACTGAGGGAGGAGGATCGCTTGAGGAGGCTACAGTGAGAGGAGCTCCTGCCACTGCATTCCAGCCTGAGTGACATGTCCTTGCGAGACCCTGTCTTAAACAACAAAACTCTCTTCTCTCGTAACCATGCCTGTCACTATTTTCCTAATAGTGGTTATCTTTTTTTCTTTTTTCTTTTTAAGCCTTGGAATATAAAGCTATACTCTAGTAATGTGTTACTATAAAACATGTGCCTTTTGTTTTTCTTGTCTCCATGTTTCTGCAGTTTTCTTGTATTTTTCCTTTCAGTCAGGT